TAACACTTTGACTCTGACTTATGGTGCTAGATTTTCAGGTCATTTTTGATAACTTTTAAAAATGTCTCTTGCATACATTAAATCAGTCATTATGGGCATATTGATGAAAACACCAAGACACGACTATGTGCAAAAACCTCGTACAAGGTCAATCAGCAGTCTCTGTGTGCACCACGACACTGCATTGAATAAAACTCAACGTGCGCGTGAGTGAAATAACCGCTAGTGTCGCGTCATACATGCAAAAATGAAACTATTGAATATGATATACGGTCCTGCAGCAGGTACGGTTCTTGATTTGCCGCGTTCGCAAAATTTTACGGATCAAAATATTCATCCAGTGCCAGAAAGCACTACAATGAATCAACTTTGCATATGACAGAAATATCACCAACAAAAGGAACACTGCTTCGGAAACCTGAAACACATACCTTCCGCGGAGTACGAGGCCAATTTTAAGAATCTACTTTTGGACAAATACTAATGGAAGTACAAATAGACTACTGATATAATCACTGGTTCAAAATTTTCAGATTTTGGCCATAAAGTTTCAGACTCACTGTGCATTCTGAGATTTGCGGTATCGTCAGTCTGACGTCGTAACATCTGATGTGAAAATATGCGACGTATTGAGATAAACAAAAAATAATTGCATTAACCCCACTGAGTCAACTGCTGAAATGGAAAAGGATCAAGCAGGCGTTTCACTGATAGTGACATGGTCTTCCTGTTTTCGCGTAAGTATAATTCAGTTACTAAGTGTAATTTTTCATAGTGGCTGTAATCAAAGTGTCTTTTTCAAAATCAAACCCTTCAAAAAGATGTGTACAACTCGGTCATCACTAATTGTCAAGGCATTATCACTTCACCATTACAGGGTTCCAAACAGCTTTTCGTGAGTGTAATGTATGCTAAATTATGGGATTTAAACGCTTGTTTTTGATGTTGTATTCCCTAGAATAATAACATTAATATGAATAATGACCTCACGTTGTAGATTAGGTACTTTCTGTTCAAACATAACTCATGTTTCCCTCATTTACTCTGTACCTGATCCGGTAACGTTACACATTTCTATGAAGCACAGAAACATTGCACTTGGTCAATATTGCTTGGCCATTTTAGATTTGGCATGTCTGAAAGCATCATTTTAAATTTCTTTAAAAATCGGTCGCTTTTTAAGTAAACATTAACCTACATCACCAATGAATTAACAGATCAGTTATAAATCAATTAGAAAAAATATTTCCTACTTAAATCTCTCTATAAATTTAGCTAAGCTTGGACAGCAGAACTTCACATTGATGACATTTGATCTCTTCGAGACGAGGTCTCAGATTTGTATTCTGCAATATTCGGCGTTATAGGAAAAGTTGCATTATTTTTCGCTGGCAACTCAGTCCGATAACATGTTTTCATGTCCTTGTCTATGTTGCATCATCCTTCAATATATATTGTGCTTAGGCGCTCCAAAGACACAGTTGCTTTCAAAATGTAAGTTTCCTGACCGCTTAATCAGATATAATCTCTTTAGATATTAAAACTGCCTTTTTAAAACTGTGACAATGAATAGATGTTCTTCCTCTATCCACCTGTCTCACTCAATAGTTAACTCCGTAGACAG